AACTGGAAGGGGGTATGGACTTGGGTTGTTTTTATGGATGAAGTTACAATTGTTTGTGATCCAAATAGTACTGGCAGAAAAGTCAGAGTTAGACCTGCTGAAGAGTTGGAAGAAAAACACTTGAAGCCTAGCTTTAAGTCTGGGAGGACTAGTATTAGGGTCTATGCTGCAATCATAGAGGGTGGCAGGACTGAGTTAATTCTTGTAAGAAAGAGGAGAGAGGAGGAAAGAACCAGCGAAAAAGATAAACTTGACCTCAATTCCTACAAATATGCAACTGGAATCCATCAGCCATACCTTATTCCTTTTATAGAAGGTCTCGATAGACCTTCTGATAACATCACCCTAGCTGCAAACAATACCTCCTGGTATAGTGGTGAGGAAATCCAAAAATTGGAGGCTAACAGTATAGTCATATTCTATGTAACTAGAGAAAACTTAGGATTTCATGGAGAATAGGTGTTAGGGTTGGTAAGGTGCTGAGTATACTATACCAATAGCTTAGAAGAGAAGATGAAAAAGCCGAAGGAACACAATCGATGACTATCATCCTTCAATTTCAACTTTCACATTTGTTCCTATCAAATTGGTAGCATCAGCTATTGCCTGTAGAAGCTAATAATTTTAGTTTCTAGATGGCTAAAAAAATAGAAGGTAAAAAGGTACAGAAGATGGTGGAAAAGGAGGAGAGTTTGCAGCAAGTGGAATGATGGCTAGGCTGAATGATGGATCATCTGAAATCTTGAGTGAAGTATGAAAAGGCTGGAGATTAAGCAACTACTTTGTGGAGGCAGATACCAGAGATAAGAAAAGTGGATGACAAGATACCCAGGAAGGTCAGCCTCTTTAAGAGTCATCAGTGACAAGAGTTCTTTGAGTAGTTTGTCATGAATGTAGCTTGGCATAGAAAAGGTTTTCACATGATGCATAATTATGAGTCATAGGTATGTTATTGTTTTGTGCATGTGACAGGTTCGGGACATATGATTGGTTATATTATGATTTAATAGGTTTTACACATGATTCAAATATGAGTCAAGGGACAGGCACCTGGTGAGTATGCCTTGCAAGTGTACCTTGTGGGTATGCCTTGCACATATGATTAATATTTAGCATATGACCTTATTATAAGGTCATGGGTTTTGCGCATGTGACTCATTCGAGTCATATGACTTGTTTATTGTGTTATGATTGGTTTAGAAGTTTTCACACATGACCTTACTATGAGGTTATGGGTTTTGAACATGTGACTACTTTGGTCATGTGATTAGTTTGTTATGATGAGGTTTTGTGCATGTGACCACTTTTGGTCACATGACTAGGGACAGGAAGAATATTATATCAGGAGGCTGGTAAGTCCGAGGAGGATAGGCTCTTCACACTTTGTTCTAAGAACTTTTCCTACTTATTACTATAACAAATATAAAATTACTTCTACATTCTTTATCATTATCCCAACCTTTATTATTGTTATGCCAAGGATAACTCTTCACGAAGGAGAGTTAGAGAAAGCTTATAATAGGTGTTCTCAATTGAAGACAAAGGTTATGTACTATCAGTAACTTAGGTATAGGCCTAGAGCTATTGTAAGACTAAGAAGTAGAAAAAAGAAAAGTATTATTCCTTGTTACCAAGAACTAAACATCCGAAGGGGGATTGTTATATTATAATGCATTACCTAGAGCGATGGCAAACAATCCAAGATGGCTTCATTCAACCCTGATAGGGAAGGAGATATCGACATCGATGATTAAAACCTTAATCTAGGAGAATTTAGTGACACCCTAGACCACGTTTCAGCAGAGCCCTCAAGGGCAGCAAGTCCAGTAACTCTGGAGAATGGATCACCTGTCGATAGCTCTCCTACAGGAACTCTACAATTAGAAAGAATGTTGGAATCGGTTGCACCTGGGCCAATAGCCCCAGGGGCTCTGGTACCAGGTACCAGTGTAATTGGAATGACTGAAAATCAGTTTCAAACATTTCTTACAGTAACATGAAATACAGAATACGGGAATATTCAACGGCTGAAAGTCAAAGAACTGGACAGGTATAAAGTGGCCAATAATAAACTATGAATATTCTTAGCACAATGCGAAGGATACTTTGCAGTCAAGAGGTATGGAGAATATTATGATAAGATTAAGATTCCCTTTGAGAAATCTCTGTTGAGAGGACTCGTGAGACGATGGATCATGTCTTTCCAAGATGGAAGAAAACAAAGAGAATGAGTCACTTATGCAGAATTCAAGACAACTCTCTTTGATCGGTTTGACAATCCCAATGTCAAAAAAACAGCAAGACGGAAGTTGGAAAAACTCCAACAAGAAAAACAGACCTTCCCAGCATACTGGAACGAATGTCGACTATTGGAATACGAGGCAGAATTTGATGATGCCACTCACTACATCATTTTGCTAAGAAACTGCAGTAAAAGACGGCAAGACGCGTGGAGAATTTCTGACCAGTGCTACACAACTTCAGAACGATTTGGAAGATGGGTAATCGACAAGGAAAGTAAACTGAACATGGTTCAGAACAATTCGGAAAACACTATAGCACATAGGATGGTCAGATCATCCAGGAATGTGGATGGAACTTTCAAACCACAAGCAGCTCGGAGCAAAAGCAGAGTATTACCACCAGGCAAACCAATGGAATTGGACAAATCGAGAGTAGGACCAGCTCTGAACCTATCCAAAGAAGAATATGCTAGAAGAATGAATGGGAAACTCTGCAAAGCCGATGTGATAATGGATACCAATGAATAAAGGAGGCTGAAAACAATTGCTTCCAGTTTCAGAAAAGGAGTAACATCTGCGAAATGATTGCCGAGGACTTATCGGCAGAAAGCAATGAGGGTCCCCAGTAAAAGATAGTCTGGGAGACCAAAGATACAGACCTAAAAAACCCATCAAGTTAGCAAAGTACTATGAGGCACTACACACACAACATGAAGAAGGAGATGGAGATTATGTGATAATCAAGACAAAGATATATAATGAAAAGCACAAAGAGACAATGATATATGCAATGCTCAACTCAGGGGCAATTGAAGATTTCATTGATAAGGAAATCTGTGACAAATACGGCCTCAATGCCAAGGAAGTAAAGAAAGCGAGACAAGTCTACCTAGCGGACGGGAAGCCAAGCATAATGGGTCCTATAACCCACATGGCAGAGGTACTTATTGACATTAACAGCCATAGGGAAACTGCAACCTTCCAGGTAGTGGACCTCAAGAACCATGAGATAGTCCTAGGAATGCCATAGTTACGAAGACACAAC